TTCTGCTTTTTCATTAACAAATATAACTTAGAAAAAGCAGTAAGTATATTAATGAAATTAAATCTTAAAAGACTCACAATATGGTATTCAGTTTAAAGCAAGGGTTAAAAGAAATAACACTCAAATTTATAGTAAGCATCAGTGACATGTTTTACTGTATTACTAGCCTTACTTTTCTAACTATTTGTTTTTCTTCATCTCCTCTTACTATCTTTTTTTTATGTTTTAGGCCATTTCTTGGCTTCTGGTGGTCTGATCTAATCTGTTCAGGAATGCTAATTTAAAGGAAAGGTGCTAGTGAATTCATTTATACTCTTGGTACATACACTCCAATTGCCACTGCTTTCTCTTCCTTCATCTTGTTCCTAACAAAGGTTTTTAAGTCCTGATTAATGATTTCTCAATTTATACACTGTCTTTTTAAAGGGAACATTTTTTTTTTTTAATCTACCAAACATTTTAAACTACCAAATGAAATTGATTAGACTTTAAATAAATTTACCTAGGTTTCTTTAAAATAGTTTAGGTGTAACTTTTTTTTTTTTTCTTTTTCTTTTGAGACAGAGATTACTCTGTTTTGCTCAGGAGCTCAAATGATGCTCCTGCCTCAGTAGACCAAGTAGCTGGGATTGCAGGCCTGCAGGCAAATAATATGGCTGTTTCCTTTGGTGGTTTTGTTTTTTGTTTTAATTACTGTTGCATTAAATATATAGATTAAGGTTTGGTGTGTGGCTCAATAGAGTACTTGCTTAGCATGCATGAGGTCCAGGGTTCAATCCCTAGCACTGCAGAAAAAGAAAAAAAAGAAAACAAAACAAAAAAAAAAGTATATGTGTGTGTTGAAAGGATTGGTTTTTCTTTTTCTTTTTTTGGTACTGGGGATTGAATCCAGGGATTCTTATTTTTTTTAATATTTATTTTTTTGTTGTAGTTTGACACAATACCTTTATTTTTATTTATGTATTTTTATGTGGTGCTGAGGATCAAACCCAGGGCCTCATACGTGCTAGGTGAGCACTCTATTGCTGAGCCACAACCCCAGCCCAAATCCAGGGATTCTTTTTCACTGGGCTACATGTCCAGTTCTTTATTTCATTTTATTTTTTAAAATTTACAGGCACTGTGGCACATACCTCTAATTCTAGAGACTCTGGGAGGCTGAGGGAGGAGGATCACAAGTTCCAAGCCAGCCTCAGCAATTTATCAAGATCCTGTCTCAAAAATAAATTTAAAAAAGAGGCTGGGTATGTAACTCAGTGTTAAATTGCTATTGGGTTCAGTGCCCAGTACTAAAAAAAATAATAATAATAATGTTGAGGGTGGGATTATAGCTCAGTGGTGGAGCAGTTCCGTGGCATGTGTGAGGCACTAGGTTCAATCCTCATAAAAATAAATAAAATAAAGTTATTGTGTCCATTTACAAATAAAAAAAATTAAATAAATAAAATTTTGAAAGATAGTCATGCTAAGTTGCTGAGGGTCTCTGTAAATTGCTGAGTCTGACTTCAAGCTTGTAATCCTCCTGACTCAACCTTCCAAGTAGTTAGTTTTAGGTGTGTGCCATGGTACAGAGCTAGAATTGGCAATTTCTATAGTATCGAGTCTTCCTTCTTTTCTTTCCTTGCAGTGCTAGGAATTGAACCCGTGGATTTGCCTATGCTAGGTATGTGCTTAGTCACTGAGCCATACCCCCAGCTTTCTATTCAGTTTTGAGATACATAGTACATTATTATTAACTATAGTCACCATGCTGTGCAGTATATCACTATAATATAATCCTCCTGTCTAGCTGAAACCTTATATTCTTTCATTAAAAACTCTCCCTTGGGGCTGGGGATGTGGCTCAAGCAGTAGCGCGCTCACCTGGCGTGCGTGCGGCCCAGGTTCAGTCCTCAGCACCACATACAAACAAAGATGTTGTCTGCCGAAAACTAAAAAAATAAGTATTAAAAAAATTTCCTCTCTCTCTCTCTTAAAAAAATATATTAAAAAAAAAAAAAACTCTCCCTTTCCCCATACCACTCCCCTTATTAAGAATTTTACATTTATTTTTAAGTGCTGGAGATTTAACTCAGGGCCTTGTGCATGCTAGGGAAATGATCTACCACTGAGCCACATCCCAGCCCTTGTTAAGTGTTTTTACATCTTATGTTCATGAAGGCTATTGGTCCTTAGTTTTCTTATAGTGCCTTTATTAGTATATTTCTGGTCTTATAAAATATAAGTTTTTTTTTTTAATTTTTTAATATTTATTTTTCAGTTTTTGGCGGACACAACATCATTGTTTGTATGTGGTGCTGAGGATCGAACCCAGGCCGCACGCATGCCAGGCGAGCGCGCTACCACTTGAGCCACATCCCCAGCCCCGAAAATATAAGTTTTGAAAGTGTTTGTTCCTCTTATATTTTCTGGAAGACTTTTTATAGACTTGATAATCTTTCTTCCTTAAATGTCTGCTAGAATTCATTAGTGAAATGACTTGAGCTAAGAAAGTTTTTTGTTTTGGTTTGGTTTGGTACCAGGGATTGAACCCAGAGGGGCTTAACCACTGAGCTCCATCCCTAGCCCTTTTTATTTTTTATTTTGAGAGAATTTGGCTAAGTTTCTGAGGCTGGCTTTGAACTTGCAACCCTCCTGCCTTAGCCCTGGAGCCAGGCATGATGGTGCACAACTGTAATCCCAGCAGTTTAGGAGGCTGAGGCAGAAAGATCACAAGTTCAAGGCTAGCCTCCAACAATTTAGGGAGGCCCTTAGCAACTTGGTGAGACTCTGTCTCAAAATAAAAAATAAAAAGGCTCAGAGATGTGGTTCAGTGGGTAAGCCCCTAGATTAGATCTTCAGTACACCACCCCAAAAAGGACAAATTCAGTTTTAAATTGACATGAAATGCTAAGTGAAGTTAGCCAATCCCCAAAATCCAAATGCCGAATGTTTTTTTTTTTTTTTTTTTTTTTTGACATAAGGAGGCTGATTCATAGTGGGATAGGGAGCATGAGAGGAATAGACGAACTCTAGATAGGGCAGAGGGGTTGGAGGGGAAGGGGGGGCATGAGGTTATTAATGATGGTGGAATGTGATGATCATTATTATCCAGAGTACAGGTATGAAGACGTGAATTTGTATGAATATACTATCTATACAACCAGAGTTATGAAAAATTGTGCTCTATATGTGTAATAAGAATTGTAATATACTCCGCTGTCATATATAAATAAGAAATATATATATAAAAATAGATATGGAACTATTTGAGCATTCTGTTTCTTCTAGACTAAGTTTGCATTTTATAAAGAATTTATTTCATTTGGCTATGAAATATATTGACAAAAATTTGTTTATGAATATTTTTTCTTACCCTTTTAATGTTTATAGGATTTGTAGCAATGTCTCCTTTTGGTCCTGATGTTGCTCATCAATAAATTAATGTCTCTTCTTTTTTTCCTGAGTTAAATTTTTTTCCGTTTTCTTTTTCCCCCTCTCTCTTTTTTCTTTCTTTCATGATACTGAGGATGACCCAAGGGCACTGTACCACTGAACTATACCCAGCCCTTTTTTATTTTTATTTTAAAAAAATATTTATTTTTTATTTTAGGTGGACACAATATCTTTATTTTACATTTATGTGGTGCTGAGGATCAAACCCAGTGCCTCGTGCATGCTAGGTGAGCACTCCACCACTGAGCCACAACTTCAGCCCCCTTTTTTATTTTTTAATTTGAGATAGAAGTTTGCTGATTTGCCCATGCTATTTTTTAAAATATATTGTTTTAGTTATAGATGGACACAATACCTTTATTTTATTTATTTATATAGTGCTGAAGATCAAACCCAGTGCCTCACATGTGCTAGGAGAGTGCTTTACCACTGAGCCCCAGCCTCAGCCCCAGCCCGCCCATGCTATCCTTGAACTTGAGATCCTCCTGTCTTAGCCTCCCAAGTAGCTAGAATTGTAGATGTGTGCTATGCACATGGCTTGACTTTTATTATACTTTGTTTCATTATTCTCCATTGTTTTTCTTTGTTTCTTTCTACATTTTCAGCAATTTAACCCAGGGATGTTTACCACTGAGCCACATTCCCAGCCCATTTTTGTATATTTTATTTTCAGACAGGGTCTCACTAAGTTGCTGAGGGCCTTGCTAAATTGCTGAGGCTGGCTTTGAACTTGGAATCCTCCTGCTGTGGCCTCTTGAGCCTCTGGGATTCTAAACTTGCACCATAGCGCTTTCTTTGTTGTTGTAATCTTTATTATTTCCTTACTTCATGCTTGGGTTTAATTGGCTCTTGTTAATTTGCTTTGCAAAACCTGTCTGCCCCAGTCTCTCTGAACTCTCACCTCAGTCTCTTCAACTCAGCAAGACTGTTGGGCTATGTTTGAGTTTCCTTTCCATGCACTGTAGCCTGAAATTTCCTTTAAGCAGTAAACTCTGGTAATTGTAGAACTCACCTTGTTTGTTTCTCTTTCTGAGATTATAGGTCTGTACTACCAGTTGTCAAACATCTGAAGAAATAGTTGTTTTGTTTATTTTGTCCAGTTTCTTAGTTGTTTATGGTGGAAGGGCAGTTCCCATGCTAGTTAATCCTTCAGTACTGAAGGATGTATGCATTTTATACTTTGCAAAATTTCTAAAATAATCAGAAGAAATAAATTCTATTCCTTTACCTTTTAACAAGTTCACCCCATCTTTTCCATATTCCCTCTTCTGGGTTTGCATTTATGACAGAACAAAATGGTTTCATGATCTGTTGAGTTCATTCTCTTTCCAAATAAGAATAATCCTGAAACATTGAAGAGGCTGAATTGTTTTGTTTTTTTTAAGTTTTTTTGGGCCTGTTTTCCATCACTAGATTTAGTCTTTCTCCTATACATTGTATGCAATTCTTATTGTCATTTATAACTTAATATTTGTTAGCTATTCTTATCTTATTCACTTGGGTGATGCTTTAGTTTAAAAATATCACCACATAACCAGTGTTCAGTTGTATGAATTTTTTCCCAGGTGGTATAGCTGTATGTTGGGAAAAAAATGCAGTCTGGCTCCGCTGAAAGAAGAGCTTCGCATCCAAGGGGTAAGGCATTGTCATCATCATTCTAGTCTGTCTAATTTTTGATGGTAGTTTGGGTATAGAATCTTCCTTTACTATCCCACAGCTCTAAATGTGGTAATGTGGTTCTTTATCTACTTTTCTTTCTTTTTTTTTTTCTTTTTTCTTTTTTTGTTTTGTTTTGTTTTTGGCTTGTTTTTAAAAGTCTACAATTGTAGGGCTAAAAGGGACTTTTATATATTATTAAAACAAGACCTTTTTTGAAATTATAATACAGAAAAGGTATGGGAAAACAGGGTAAGTAGAATGTCAAAGAGAGACCTGAAATTAAAAATTCTGATGTTTACCACCAACCTCATATCTGACTCTTTATAGATGTACATCTTTATAGATGTAGAAACTAAATGCTAAATAAGTTAAGGGATTTGTTCCAGATCACACAGCTGGTTAATAAAGGACAACTAGAAACGAACAGTCTTAGTTAGTCCACTGTGCTTTCTACTAGGGTGACAGCCTACCCAGTGCAGCCCGTTGCTTCTTTTTTCAAAGGCAGTTGGAAAATAAGCCCCCTCCATCAGTTTCCTCTAAGTGTGTGGTATTTGGCATGAGTAGATATTTGTAAAATGAAAAGGGGTGAGGTGTAAGTTTAGGAGTAGAAGCCAAGTATCTATTTTATTTTTATATTTTGCAGTGCTGAGGATTGAACCCATGGCCCTGTGCTTGCCAGGCAAATGCTTTGTCACTAAGCTATATCCCACCGCCTGAAATTAAGTTTCTGATCTGTTTTCTCTTAGACATTCTGTTAGTTGTTTTCCCCACAATACTGCTTCTTGGTAAAAGTGTAAATGTTACAAAGGAATTTCTTTTTTTTCCCTCCTGAAATCTGATAAATTAAAGAGTGATCACATACCTGTGAATAGCTGGACTTTGGTTGACTTTCTTTATTAGAAAAGGAAAAACAACAACAATAACATTCAAATCAATTTACAAATGTAGAAACAATGCTAGATAAGTTAAGGGACTTGCTGGTTAATAAAAGAACAGCTCCAAAGAGCTGTTTTAAGTGTTTCTTATATTTGTTCCTTTGAGCCAGGTCTTTAAATTCTCCCTAATGTTTTATAGGAGGGGGGGAAAACTTTATTGAGATATAATTATTCAGTGATATTGGGAAGCTATGATTAATTATTTTTTGGAAGTAGTGTTTGTTAGCTAATTAAAAAGAAGGACAGATAACTTGAAGTAGCAGCCAGAAACATCTGTAGAACAACTTCAGTTTGATGAGATGCTGTGTTTGTGTTTTCAGGTTCCCAAAGTTACCTTTACTGAGTTTTGTCAAGGTCGGACAATGAGATGGGCCTTAGCTTGGAGTTTTTATGATGATGTCACAGTACCAGTAAGTAGAAACTTTACTTGAACTTCTCCAAATGCCAGCACATGCTTGGGTTTAGTGGGTCACAAATGAACTAAATCAGTATTGTCCCATTTCCCTTAGGTTTGCCCACAAATGCTTATGGAAAAATAGAAAGTAGATTGTAAGCAAGGCACAGTCCTGGAAGGCTGATTGGTGACCATGGAGACTTCCTCTGTGGGTTTGTGCGACACACAAATTCTTGTTCAGCAAACACAAACACATCTTTTAGTAATTAGAAACATAGGTAATATAGCCTGTGGGAACGCTTCATGAGTGCAGTGATTCTGGTTGACATTGCTCTGGAATTGAAATTCAGTTGAAGTCTTTTTTTCATTCATTTCTGTGTTCCTAGGGTAGCTGCCTTCTGGGGCTCCTAGTGAATTTAGAAGTTTCCTTTTTGAAGCTGGGCATGGTGGCACATACTGTAACCCCAGCCTCTTTGGAGGCAAAGCAAGAAGATTGAAAGTTCAATGTCAGCCTTGGCAGGCTAGCAAGACTTTCAACAACTTAGCAATACCCTGTCTCAAAAAATGAAATTTGAATGGGGTGGCATACTCTTGGAAATCCAGCTACTTGGGAGACTGAGGCAGGAGGCTCACAAGTTTGAGGCCAGCCTAGGTCAACTCCAAGAAACCCTATCTCAAAATAAATAAAAAGAGCTTGGCATATGTATCTCAATGGTAGAGCATCCCTGGGCTCAATCTCCTTTACCCCCAACAAAGAAGTTGTTTTGATTTTAGCTTTCACCTCCATAGTTCCTGTGCTGGGAATTGAACCCAGAGCCTGGCACATGCTATGCAAACATTCTACCACTGAGCCACACTTCCAGCCTTCGTAGATTCAGCATTTTCATGTAAAACACTTAAGATCAGTCTAGTGAGTGATTATTCTGTCTTGTCTTTAAAATTAGCCCTAGAATATTAACTAGTCTTGAAGGTGAGTGATAAGTCATGATTCTATTTTCTCTACTTTGTATGCTTCTCTACTTTGTATGCATGTGCTCCTTTTTCCCACAGTGCTTGTGGAAGCCTGGTACCTGCTCCTCCAGATCTCCTCCCCAGTCCGTGCAGCAGACTGGATAAGAAATTTGTGTCAGTGGTTTGTTCACAAATGTTTCTGACTTCTGTACTGTTATACGTAAAGTAAAAAACACATCTGAGCTGGCCAGACCAAGTTGATTTTTTGCACTGTTAATTGTGTTTAGCCAGCTTATTGTTGCTGTGACCACAATACCTGATGCAAAAAATTCAAATGAGAAAAGATTTATTTTGGCTCATGGTTTCAGAGGTTCATTCTATGGTTTACTGGCTCTATTGCTGTGGGCCTGAGGTGAGGCAGTGCTACATTGTGGAAGGGCATGGCAGTAGAAAGCTGCTTTAGCTCCTGGCAGCCAGGAACGGGGGTGGGTAGAGATAAGGTATAGTTCCAAAGGGTACTCCTCCTTCAACCAAGTCCCACCTCCTACAGTTCCCAATAAAGGATTACTAATCTACGGATGAAGTCAGATCATCACATTGATGAAGTCAGATTCTCTAATCAGTTTTTTTTTTCCAAATTTTTTAATTGGTGCATTATAGCTGTACATCTGATTACTTTCCAAAAGCCACACTTCTGAACATTGCTGCATTGGGGATTAGGCCCTTAGCACATGAGACTTTTGGGGAACATTTCATATTCAAACCATAACAGTGTTGGAACAGCATCTCTTTGTTCTCACACTTCCCTCCCAGAATGGTTGACTTCTTGTTGCCTGGGGTTGCCTGCCTTAAGTTCATACATGGCTGCTCAGCATGTGCGCCTTCTTCCTGCAGTGTTTGTGGAAGCCTAGTACCTGCTCCTGTAGGTTTCCTCCCCAGTCTGTGCAGCAGGCTTGTTCTGGGGGTTCCTCTCCCATAGTCGTGGCCACTCTTGGTCTCTAAAGTTATCTTAGTTGATGCTGTGTCTGATTCTCTCCCTGCTCTTGTAGGGCAGATGCATGGAAGTAGAGACACATCGAAGCACTAGGGGACAGTTTGCTGATGCCACTTTATTTCTGAGAACATGAGCTCAGATATAAGACTTGAAAATGTCCTTTCTCCACCCTGCAACTAGGTGTGCTGCTGGATTGAAATATGCTTCACAGTTTGGCCTTTCCTGTGGAGGTCAGACTCAATTCTAAAACAGTACAGTAGTATACTTAGAGGTGAGGTTAGTGTGTCAAAAATCACTGGTTAAAAGATATCTGTTTTTTTCACCTCCCTGAAGTATTATCCTTTCTTTTGTCTTCTCGAATACCAGCACTTATACACCAGATGGTTAAAATCATTAGTAATGCCCTAACTTACTCTGTGCAGACATGAACAGCTGCAGGAAAGTGGAGCAGCACCTGGCTCCAATGTTTTCTGCTTAGTCTGCTTCCCACATGTGTTGGCACTACAGCTAAAAGAACTGATAATGGCCTCTGGCACTCTCCACGCCAGCTCGTAGACCAGTTGCTCTTGCCCTCTTGGATTAGCAATTATCGTAGATCCAAGTGTCAAAGTATACTGTGTTTCTGTGTGAGCAAAATTGGCTTATTTTGAAAAGGAACTCTTGAGCCTCCCTCTCTTTTACGGCCTCCTATATCCTTGCTCACAATTTTCAACTTTCAAAGATTGACTCTAAGACCTTCAGATTTCTCCCATGCTAGAGTATTCTTCCCTCCTCACCACTGCCACCACTGTTAATAATGCATTCTCAAGTGTTCCATTAGATGCACTTAAACTGCTGGGAGAAAGTGGCAGTTTCTGATTTGTAGTAACCCAGCAACCGTTTCTTAGCACTGGTGCTCTTGATCAGCAACTGCTTCCCCTGAGGTTAGTTCCAGGTTACTCAGGATATTTTGATTTAGCCTTCCTCTTGGTTCCTCTTCACCCTACCTAGACCTTTACCCATTCCCTGCTTTTTTTGAAGTGTTCACTGGATGGGAAAGGGGGAGGATGCTGTTTTAGACACATGGAGAGGAAACCAAGGAATAGAGCTAGTTAAGCAGAAATATTGACCTACTTCCCTACCCCCACCCTGCCATTTTAGGGTAAATGTGCAAGTTACTATGGCAACTTCTCTTTTCACTTATCTTAGGCCTACTGACTTGTTTCTGTTGGTGCTAAATGCCGAAGCATTCTAATTCACTGGTGATTTAAGTGCCTACACTAAACCCATTGCTGTTGTCTGGATTTATTTTAGCAACAAAAAGACAGATCCCAGTGATAGAATTTTTGTACCATCATTTCTGACTGATGATGAGTATAAGGAAGTGTGTAGTGAGGAGTGTTCTTTACATTATTGTAGCAAGCCACTTAGAAAGCCTCTTTGTTCCAGTTCTGTAATTGCTCATGGCATTGATTTAGCTTTGCTTTAAGGAAATTTAATATTCATTAAAATACAAAAGCAGATTGGGGATGGAACTGTATTAAAGTTGTGCACTCTTGGTATGAGCATTGTCCAGGAATTCTCTGGTTGTAAAAAGTATTCCCCTGAGCTGTGCAGTGGCACAGACCTGTCATTACAATGACTCAGGAGGCTGTGAGAGGAGGCTTCAAGGCCTTGTCTCAAAAGAAAAAGGGCAAGCTGGCGCATACCTATAATCCCAGTGAGTCAACAGGCTAAGGCAGGAGGATGGTAAGTTCAAAGCCAGCTTTAGCAAAAGTGAGGCACTAAGGGGCTGGGGATGTGGCTCAGTGGTAGAGTGCTTACCTAGCATATGTGAGGCCCTGGTTCGATCCTCAGCACCACAGGAAAAAAAAATAAATAAAATAAAGATATTGTGTCCAACTATAACTAAAAAATAAATATTAAAAAAAAAAAAAAAGCAAGGCACTAAGCAACTCAGTGAGACCCTGTCTCTAAATAAAATACAAAATAGGGCTGGGGACGTGGCTCAATGGTCGAGTGCCAAGAGTTCAATCCGCAGTACCGCCCCAAAAAGAAAAATGGCTGGGTATATAGCTCAGTGGTAGAGTGGCTCTGATTCAGTCCCCACACCTCAAAACAACAACAACAAAACCTGTAACTATAAAGTAAAATAGATGCTAGTATTCCTACCTTATAGATGAGTGTACTGGAGGCACTGGAGAGGTTGGAGCCCCAATTAGACTGATTTCCCAACTCAAGCCATTAGTTCTTTTTCTTTCTTTGTTTTCTTTTTATTAGTTGTCAGTGCACTTTTGTTTAATTAATTAATTGATTTGTATGTGATGCTGAGAATGGAGCTCAGTGCCTCACACATGCTAGGTGAGCATTCTACCACTAAGACAACCTCAGGTGCTGGGGTGGTGGCTCAGTGGTAGAGCGCTTGCCTCGGCTCAGTGGTAGAGCGCTTGCCTCGCACGTGTGAGACCCTGGGTTCAATCCTCAGCACCACATAAAAATAAATGAATAAAATAAAGGTATTGTGTCCAACTACAACTAAAAAGATAAATATTAAAAAAAAAAAGATACAACCTCAGCCTGAAGCCATTAGTTATTTCTGATGGTCTGCTCCCCAGGTTACTGACTTTATTCCAGCCTAGCCATAATAACCTACTCTTGCAGGACTTCAACCTCTTGTGTAGGTACCATCTCAGTAGCCTCTGAAGAGTCTCTTGGATTCATCCTAAGTTTACCATTCTGCTCAAAAACTGTTGAGTGAGGCCATGTGGTGGCGCACACCTGTAATGCCAGTGGCTCAGGAGGCTGAGGCAGGAGGATCATGAGTTCAAAACCAGCCTCAGCAATGGTGAGGTGCTAAGCAACTCAGTGAGACCCCTGAATCTCTAAATAAAAGACAAAATTGGGCTGAGGATGTGGTTCAGTAGTCGAATACCCCTGAGTTCAATCCCTGGTTCCAAAAACAAAACAAAATAAACCTCTTGATTGAGGGCTGGGGATATAGTTCACTTAGTAGAGTGCTTGTCTCACATGTACAAGGCCCTGGGTTCAATCCCCAGCATCACACACACAAAATCTGTTGAGTGACTGGCCAC